AAATTTCATTCAGAATTCGGAACCGTACTCCATGAACTTTCATCTCCGGATAAGTCCCTAATGAGAGTATGCTAAGAGTCTCCACTTAGTCGCTAAGAAACGATCTTCTTAGGTTATACCCATAATGATGAATGAAGTTGTCAACGGACAACTCCAAGATTGCGCTGAGGTATTATCCTGGGACGAGGGACGAGAGCCAAAAGTATAATATAATAGATCCCTGAACTCTATATGTGATACAGGCGCCGATAATGCTCGCCAAAATCAAAACGATCCCAATAATCCAACTCACCGATGATGTTCATCCTTAATGTCGTACGTACCAGAGTCGACAATTTTATTCAATTCCGCTTTGTTAGTGAAGAATAGAGCCAAGTCTGTGGCCAGGATGCAGTGTTTGATCAGTGACAAAGCTTGCTTATACTCATTTGACGTCATTGATTTCAGAATGTTATGACCTTCCTAAATAATTGGTAGATTTTGAGTTTGAACTGTAGTTGTTATGATCCAAAATGAAGTAATCGTCCTTGGTTATGTTGTGAATTCTGCAAAGTCTTACTTCCACCCATACCACACATTTTCCAGAGTTGATAAAGACTATGTGTACTCATTAAAGGCGATACATTGGGCCTCTTGTAAATACGAAGGCAAAAGTGGGTACGAACTAACAAGCCACGATACCAGTTACGGTAGCAAGTAAGGTGGTTTAGTTGTAAATTGAAAGTTGAGCCTGGGCTCCTCAGTTAATTATCTGGTTACGTGTTGGGTACGGTTGACGACCCATAATGAGGAGAACTCGGTGTTTGTAGCTTCCAATAAAAACAAAATTCTAAAGTACGGATCCAAATTCATCTCGTAATCACACAACTGCCTCATACTACGACTAATACGTATTATTTTACGAAATGTTCGCGAATAGTAGGAGTTTGGAGCAACACTGGGATTATGGTAGGTACTCTTATCGTACTGAACTTTCGTTCTTATGGAGGGTATGGTTAACGCTGTCCTCAGTGCCGTGGGGGATTCAAGGATGCTGACTCTACGTTGATATCACTGTAGGACCATTTACCATTTGCTTTTTCATGGCTTCTGTGTATATTCTTTATTTTAACATCTACTACCTTTTCCTAAAGCGCTCTCCTTCTTGGTAGGTTTTTCAAATGATTTTGAAGAAACCCACTTGGTAAAAAGCAGGTGGCTCAGAGTTCATTTCCATATTTAGCCTGTCCTCTACCTTTTATTTGATAATCAGGAACAAACCTGCTGTAAGATAGTGACAGTCTGGTTGAAATGATGATGTTCCATCACAGATGTCGTGTAGATACTGGCCAAAGGTGTCATCATCGATTTCATGTAGGCGTTACTCTTTCCACGATGATCAAGATCGTGGCATAGGCAAGAGACATACAGAGCCAAAGCCTGAATACGGTACTTTGAGGTTCGAGGAACTCTTTACCGACGTGGCGCTTCATTTGGACGAGAATGGACCCTGAACGAGTAATAGATCGAATTACCCTTCGACGAATTCAGTTTGGTTCTGGATATTGATAGTGAAGTGGAAAATGGTTTGGAGAATAGGGTAAGGAAAGCCTTCTCCGTTATGACGTCGTCTAACCTCAGAGCTGTAACCCTGTAAAATGGCATACGAGTCCTCAAATGGCAGTCCTAGTCCTTGCATATCATTATCCCCGATCCGAACACAGTGAGCTAGTTGCTACAACTGTCCCACCATACGCACATCCTTGTTAGTTGTCTCGTCGCACGGTATATTGCTTTAAGATAACAGCCGGTACTTTAGTCATGACATCGCTTTATTCATTCCTGACCGAAAAAGTCTCAAAAACCTAGCTCACATCAGTTCAGCAACGGTAAAAGACCTATCGTACTTTTTATCTAGCAAGTATATCAGAATACGATGTGGATTCCCATAATACTTTTTAATAATCCGTGAATACAATTACCTCATGTGTAGTGAAGAGATCTCGTGCCGTATGATGCATGAGGACCACAAACATCGCATGTGCTACAGACCATCCATGTGCCCAATTGTGGTAGGCGACCCGTCTGTAGTTCTTTCGTACCGTTAAGACAAATCGAATAAGCTCGTCACGATCGTATCGGCTGAAAACTGCGATTCAGAGATGAAGTGTGAATCGGAAGATGAGGCACTTGATGTCGGTGACCAGATAGGCCATGCTTTCCTAGTAATTGTAGATTTGCTAGAGAATCCTCTCAGGAAAGCCGGCATAGAACCAAGTTCAAGGCGAGTGGTTTTTATAAAGGCATAGGCGGTTTAGTCAGATCAGATCAGATCTGATCCTCAGACCATACGCACGGTAACAACGCTACACGCCACCCGACTTTCGTTGTAGTCAAGCTGATGATCGTATTCCATATTGTTCCGTCATGGAAACACTCACAATGATTCCTGGAAGAGTGTCTTGAACATCGCTATAGCGTAGAGAGGCTTTTCAAGTTCTGACATCCGCAAGTAATTGAATTCGAACCTAAAAAAAAAAGTTTTTCCTTGGGTTTTTTTCTCCATAGTGCTTCACTTCTCTTTCTTTATCAACCTCCTAATTTGGAATGCTTACGTTTCCAATTCCTCGACTCGATCTTTGATTTCCATTTTCTGTAGCTTTGCCACTTCATCCTTGTTGCAGACACTGTGATAGGCCAAGACTTCAAGAGCAACGCGATATTTCTGAAAACAGTCAGGATGTATTATCGATTTTTATTGATCGGTGTGCAAACTAAGGGGTTTCGCTTCCTCTACCTGCTCGGAACGTCGAATCTTATCGTAGAGCTTTGCATGATGTAGCGCTAATCCGCAGTAGACGGCAAACACCTCGAAACTGTCTTCGTCTGATTTTGTGAACACCCCTTCGTGCTTGTTCACCATCTGTACCACACCAATAACGCTGAAAAACCGCGATCTACAGTCAGTTCTAAGAGGTATTTGAACAGGTTTGCATTTTTGTACNCTAGTTGTCTTCCTACCGTACTAATAGGGTTACTAGGAGAGTTGAGTATGTCCTTTTCGTAAACTGTACCTTCCACGTATGAAAATCGGCATGCAGAGAATGGTCTTGGTGGTGTAACCGGTTTTCGAGTCGATTTCCGGATTGAATCGTTCATCCTCGTAAGCATCTTCGATATTTAGACCTTCACCGGTCGATGCTACATGACCGGCTATCCCTCGATCCATACTGAATCTGAAATTGGCAACAAATAGGCGCTCAAAACTCGTGCTCTGGTTCAGTCAGCGAGTCTTCTCTGGTTTCCCTATTATATGAGCTTTATTCAAGGCATAGTGAGGGATACGTAGGGATTACATGTGGTATCGATAAAGAAGAATCGATCAATATTGATCAGTAATATTTTAATGAGTGGTGGGAAAGGCTAGGCATGGGACAGGCTTTGGCTGAAGGTCTTGAAATGCAGACTCAGTGGTAAGGGATGATCATGTTGTTAATTCTTCACTGTTGGCAGTGTCAGTCAATATCGATCAATCGGGACCGACCAATATTGCTTTGGAAATAGATATGATCACAATGTCACGACTTAGCCGTTCATAACACCAGGCCATCTACTTTGATGAAGGTCACTTTTTTCTGGATTCTTTTACAGAGGGAAAACAATGAGTTGAACAATGGTTCAACCCTAGGTAAGTGAGTGCGCTCCAACCACTATATATATNTATATATATTTACTACATTTTCGAATGAAAGCCGATATTTGGCTTATTCCAGACTTATTATCGGGGGCTTTCTCAATGCTATTCGTCGAAATTGGAGGACTCACCTTATTTCTTTACTTCCATCTTTATTAATTTTTTCAAGCTCTTCATTATCTTTGCCAACGTCAAAAATTCTGGCGTACAGTTCGCGATTTTTGCTGTCCACGAGGAAAAGCGACGCCCGATCAGCTTCGACCAGTTTTGCCGCAAAATTCTACAAAACATAAGTGGTTACGTAGCCAGTTCGGACGGCTAGTGACGTCACCCTACCATAACTTTGATGATTACGGTATCCATTGAGACGATATCTTGGAAAATACTTTTGGCCACGTCCAAAAGGAATGAATTCAGCCGACGTTGTCTGGCAAACACTTCTGAGCTGCTACCGGTTCGTTCAAGCTGACTTGCCACCTGCCAATAAAGAATTTCCGTATAGCAAAACCTATTATATTTTGAATGAAATGGTGAATAAGCAGAATCCAGCCTAGTCGTCTTCCCTCATGGGAAGGAAGAACAAAAAAATTCGAGTCAGGAAGTGCATGTTTCTCACTTTCGTGTGAAACAGCTATAAAAGGTGAAAATCGGACAATTCAAGTGTTCTACCTGAGCATGATGAAGCGATCCACCAGCCCATGTGCAGATGATGTTGATGATCTGCTTGTCCCGTTCAGATACATGTGAATTGAAGTGAATTTCTCCTGAAAGTCGTTTATGTTATCTAACATCACATAATGGTTGGGCATAGCGCAAACAGAAGAGGCCATCAGAGTTCTTATACTCTTCGAGATCAAATGATTGTGAATGCGCCATGTAATCGTCTTTTTCTCAAAATGAAGCAGTGTTTGGAGTGCTGCAACGTCATTAGTCGGGTTGTTAACCTCTTGAGTGAGATGAAGAGACTCAGTCCAAGCCCAGTTCATTACCAAATTTGCCTTCAAGTGCTTACTACTTCTTTCTCTTCCTCAGTTTCAATTTAGACTCTTTTCTACTACGTATTAACATGCAATATGTAAATACATCCATTTCATCCGAACGAGTTTTGTATTGCAATTTTTCAGGTATTCCGGCAGGTACCGTACTCCTAAGCAAAATCACGGAGATCACTCAGTCGTGTTCTGTTTGATCTCTTCTATCAATACCGAGCCCTGTCCTTTGCAATCATTCAACACCTCCGACCGAAGCGATAGCGGCCTCACCGACAACCCAGTTGTTCACCTTTGTCTATTAACAAGATTTTATTTCAAAGTTTATCTGTTGCCTCCAGTTCACCTTGGTAACAGTCAGTTTGTATCTTTTTGCCAACCAAATTAATGAATTATGTGCACATAATTGTGTGGTAAACAGCATTCAGTCTACCTCTTATACGACGGAAAGGCCTTCACTTTTTTTATAAATACTTTTACATGTTTTCATTCCTTCTTGCTATTCACCACCACTACTTTCTCTGATTTTCAAAAGAAACTGTAGCATCTCTTTTCAGCTTATAAATTGGTCTACGTAAAGATCTCTACCCTGAAATGCACCCATCGTTTTTGCTTCATGGAACTGAAGGGTGTGCAAGAAGCGGAGATGACCGATGCGATAAAAAACCGGCTGGATCGTGGTTAGATCATTACCTCTTCACTTGTAGCATTCAGTTCATCTATTTCCATAAGAGTTTGCACTCTTAGAAGTGACTACAACCTTTGTGCTCTAGAGCTGAATGGATCTGCAGATGGAACTATGATCGAAGTAGGTGAGCCTTCCATCTCTTATGATTTCTTAATCATTTTTTAATCAATCTACTCATTTGCCCAGTGGAGGAAGCCCATTCATTTCGCTCAAATCAAATTGAACTTCAAATTGAACTCAAGCGACCCGGACATTAGAATCTCAGATCCTTTTTTGGGGTAAAGATCATAAGCCGATAGGAATGTATGAAATGTTACCCCTCAGTAAGTGAGTCGGGGCGTCAGAAAGCCTTACAGAGGTGTAAAGTACTCGATATTCTACAACAATGTCTGAATCAGTTCATATGATGGAATATGCACTCCATTTGTCTTCTACACTGATCTGATGGTATATTCGATGACCTGTGGAGCCAGCTGACAACCTAATTCGGTATTGTTCTTTGACATGTCTAGGGCCCCAAAAGATAGGAACTTCATTCAGCGTTCTGGAGCATCATCGCACATCGGGTTTGTGGGATCGGGCGTGTGGCGCCATCGTGTCTCTGTCCATTACAAATGCTATCACTAGAAAATCGTACCTATATTGGTTTCGTTGACATCAACCAGTTTCAACATATGCATCGGATTCCTTCGAGCTCGTTTTACCTGAAAGTCAATGAAAAGTACAAGGAAAACAAAGTCGATATTTATTTCTTTTAATATTTACATCCACTTTAGGGAAGGCTTATGAAAGACACTGCTCTGTTAGGAAGCTTCTGAGTATCATGGTCCCATTTACTGTCATTCTAGCGTACTATGGTCTACCAAGATTCTAAACGGGTTTCCTAGATTTGTCTCTGGTTGCTGTGGGAAAGATTCATCAGGTACACAGTGAACAGTGAGCTTTCGTTACTACTTCCTCACAGTTGTTATAATTGATTGAACTGGTTAAACCAATCGATCATGTAGTGGCACCATAAATTTTGTATTCTTCTGAACTTCGGAAAAACTTTTACTTATTCTATTATATCCCTCTTAGTTCCACCATGCGTCTTAGACAGAAATGCAGGAAAGTTCTTACCTTACGCAGCTTGATTTGAGATTGGTCACCAGATTCCCTTTGGACGAGGTAAACGCCCTCTTCGTCTTGGATGTACAGCTCGCACAAATCGGTGTTGGCGACTTGTGCACAACATTGTGCCAGTTCGTAGAGTATGCGGACCTTAAAAATACACTGGTTTCCTTTTTGGCTTCAATTTTTTATGAGCAATTTTACTTCAGGATTGAGGAGTATCGAGATAAGAAGAGATCTGAGGGATGTATAACCATCAATCACTCCCGTTTTTGGCATTCGGAAAACCCCGCACGCGACTTCCATCCATCCAGAATCATGGGGTCGTTTTGGTTGCGTGTGTGGCTTGTACAACGGCATGCGATGACCAGCAGATGTTCAAGTCAGTGCTTTTCTCCTTCCAAACGAGTTTGGTACCAGATAAGCGACCCCAAAGGAATGGAAGGTCAGGATGACCAAAGCGGATATCGATGCGTGAACCGATCCTCAGAGTAAGCGTGTGATAGTTCACTACTCGACTACACGCCACTTTTGTCCCTACAACTATTAATTCCGCTTTTGGAAGCCTTCGTAATTTATTCATTAATGCAAGATTCGTAATCTACTTTCAAATGTTTTTCATTGCAAAGGTAATACTAGTCCCACGTCGTGATTGGACCAAACTCCTTTGGAACTCAAGTTTTCCTTTAAATTTCGCAATGGTAAAGGCGAATTCTGTTGTAGAACTAACGCGAATAAGGTTTCTACCCTCTCACAAATCGTTTACCAATATTATAGAATACTTAGATGTTGAAATATCGAGTTATTGGACGCCCATATTATTTCATAATTAGCTAGATTGCAGTTACCGTACCTGATCATCCCCGTGATCCAAGATAATACGTCTCCTCGATTCCAAATCCTCAGACTGAAAAAAAATTAATTATTGCCCGATGCACACAACAAATCATAATCTGTTTTTCTTTTCAAAAAATTGTTTATCGATGAAGCTATACGTTGAGTGGTAGAGAACTGCCGCTGTTGAAAACAAATATGATTAGTGTTGAATTTTTCAGTGACTTTGATAATTTTTAAGCTCAGGGTTCTTCAACTCTTCCTTACACATTATCTTTCAGTTAGATCTACGAATCAATGGCTTCTGTTTGGTTGTTGACTTCTGGACTAAGCTAAAATCGTATGGCTGACGAAGGTCTATATGGTCGGAAGTCGGAAATCGAAAATGCAAAAGGTTTCGTAGGTTTTTATTTAATCTTTTGCTTATAGAGCGGTAGAGAGTATTACAGATTAAGTTGTTAGAAGCTTCAAATAAGTCATTACAAAATCTCCTTGTACCTGTAGGTTAGTCAATGAAATGAAGCTCAAGGAATTGAAAATAACTCTTAGCCAGAACTTGCCGTCTTTACAAGAAAGGACAGACGTTGGGACAGTTGCAAAAAAAATTTGTCCGGGAGGATTACAAATAACAACTGTTTAATTATTAGTGGATTAATTTTATTGTTGATAAGTTGTTAGATTAGTCAATAATTGATGATACCCAGTAGTCAAATCGTTCAAATAATGAGTAAATAACAACGAAATGCTAAAAATTACGTGGAACTGTCAACGTACTCCCCATGGCCCGTCGAAGGCCTTTCTGGCATCCCGTCGTAGATGATTCCAATTATTTCGGCGATGTACCCATTTTTGAAACGTTTCTGCTGAGACGTTGGGTCCCGTCACGTAATTTTCGAGTACCGAAGGATTGTCACGTAAGTACTGTACAACACGTTCCTCGGTCAGATCTACCATCCTTTCATCAGGACTCTGAATAAGGATGGAATTGGCGGAAATAAAGTCTTATGCTGAGTATTATATTGAAAAAACAAGTACTCTGTACTACAATGATGTAATGACGTCTGATTGTTCTGATTCCCACAACATCGCTGTTTTTGTCCACTTAACTTCTTGGATTGCATTACTTCTGTTGAGGGGAGGGAAATATCGATCTGTACTTTGCCCGATTTCAAATGCTACGTCGCATGCCTGTTGATAAATAAAACAATAGTCTTACCAGGGAAGGGTTTCTACTTCTCATGGAACTTTAAATAGAGACCTAGGTATATCGGTAGGGCTCGGAAAGTTATTAAGAAATATGGAAATTAAAACTGCAAAATGAGTCTACCAAAAAAGTTGTGAGCGTTCAAAGTTTCCATGCTTAAGCATGGAGAAGTAGTGGCAG